ATAAATAAATGAAATACCTTGTCCAGAAAGAAAAAGTAAAGAAAAACACTTTCTATTATTTTTAACAATGTTCAAGAAAGCGTTAGGTGCTATGCGAACGGTTATCCAGCCTAAAACGTCTTATCGGACTCTAGACGATTCAATAGATGGTCTAAACGTTTTATAAAAATACATAATATATTAAATATATATAGTAAAAAATATATAAAAAACATAATTTATGAATAAGTTTTATATTCATCATTTTATATCAAAATATATAGAATATTATGATTTATGTATATAATTTTATTATTATAATATCATAATATTTTAGGCGGATGACTAGAACAACTTTTTAATACACTGGTTTTGTAAAGTAAAAACCAGAAGGTGTGGATAAAGGATTTCCCAATCACCGCCGAAAACTTTTGTAATGTCCCCGATCATTTATAGACCATGAACGCTACTAATGAACACTTAAACGTCCGATCAGAGGTTTCCGGAATCCATCCAAGTTTCTTAGACAAGACTTCAAGTATTTATCTCCATCGATTACATCTTAAGGCTTGCCAAGCCGAGAAATACGCGATGGTTAGTTCGTCCGGACAAAGACTAGTATCACATGAAACCCGAATTTATGCAAACTCCTTTTTGTATAATTGTACTTAAGTTTAAATTTGTTACAAAAGATTATAAAACCATGAGTCTAACACTCCAAAACCATTATGTACATAATAAACATTATTTATTTACATAAGCAAGGAAAACTATCACTGGTTTTCTAACGTTCATTTGGCTCCCGGTTGTCTACTCGCTAATGGTCACCTGCAACACAAGTAGAGTCGTGAGCACTAATTGCTCAATGAGGCGGGCTCCCCTAACATTCGATAATAAATTCTCAACCAAACTCAAAATAACAATCAACACGCAAATATGTAAATCTAATCGATAAATGTGATAGGCTATGCAATAACAAAGTATTTCAATAATGCCTTTCGCGTAGACTATTTTCTTTCACGTCAAATCACAAGGTATCTTTCAACCGAAGCCACAAAGACTAAGAAATCTTTCAACCGAAGCCACAAAAGCTAAGGATTTAAGATCTTTTACCGTTCTAATGGTCTTATATGTATAAGGATCCGCACCGGAAATTATGCATCGTCATGCAGTACACGGCCAAAAGCTGTAATCCCATCTCTCCGTGTCTTCGTGTAATTACACTAATACTCAACGTACTAGTTAAACTACGTCCTTAAGGGAATGTCTTCATAATTTTATGACTTTATCAAATAGTTTGCAATTTTTCTAAATAAGAATATTATTGTAAAGTCAGATCCAAGTTATATGCATTCTTTAATAAATTATAAAATTTGGGTCCACCTTATCTTATAAGATTACTATATTCGTATTAAATTATTGGTTTCTTTATTATTATAAAAATAGCCATGTCGCCATCAAACATCACTTTCCTCATCTTTTTATTTGTGTCAACCATTTTCATCATAATTTTGAACTTATATTATGGATTTTGTTTTTTAAATCATGAGCTTTCTTCTTTATTTTATTTTTTTCTCAAGGGTCAAGTAATGATCTTTTAGAGCACCATTATGGCTTCGATTGGTTACCACGTTTGCAAACGAGGTACCTTTCAACCGCCCGTTTATTACCAATCAAACGATCGTTTGAACGGGTGGTTGAAACGGTCGTTTGCAACTTCGTTTGCAAACGGACTTTTGATAAAAAAGTCGTTTGAAC